TATATAAATTAACAAAAAAATTAATGCAAAGTGGCGTTCTTAAAAGCTGCCAAAATTTATATATTTTTTGGGGGTTTTATTAACCTCCACTAAATAACCTCCACTAATCACATAATTTTTTGTAGTGTGTTGGTGAAAACTATGAGTCAAGTTGGGTTGGAGTAGGGACTCCAAGCCCACTTGATCCATGCGCCCTTTGGGTGCATTAGTGGTGAAAGAGTTTTCTTCAATAATGGGCCCAAATATGATGATAGGCCAAAAAAGCCTTGGGGCATGAATCCTAGTAAGTCAAAGAGTTGACTTCACCAAAATAAGGTTTGGGCAAATTTGAAATTTGAATTTATAAATTTGAAATTTAAAATTTGAATTTCGAATTACGAATTTGGATAAGATTGAATTTATATTTAAAGTTTAAATTTCAAATTTCCAATTGGAATTTGAAATTTGAATTTTAAATTCTATGAGGTTAGGTTGTTGAGAATAATTTAAAATTATTTAAAGGAATAATCCAACAGAGATTGGATGAAGATTCTCTCAACTACTCTTTTATTTGAATTCAGAATTTAAATGAATACCGTTGCAACAAAATTTCTGAGGAAAGGAAAGGTATTAAAGGGGCGCATAATTAAAGGGAGTGAATCAAGGAACGTCCCTCTCATCATTCAATATGTGCGCCTAATTAAAGGTGGCTGATGAGGGGCGCCTAATCAAGGGAGAGAATCAAGGAAAGTCTATCTCATCACTTTAACTTGTCCGCCTAATCATAGGAGGGGCTTATTTGGTTGATCAGTTTTTTATAAAAACCTGATGCATCATCTCTCCTATGAGTGTGTAGAATTCGAAAAAGAAAAAGCTCTAACATTTCCTTCTATCTCTCTTGTTGCACGATCACCTAACCTCAAGACACCATTATAGTCTTGAGAAAAATAATCCAAACACTTGGTAGCCTTTTCCTTGCATGTGCCTAGCCAGCCACCGAGGATAAGGAGGGATCAAGGAGAAAGAGTTCTCATTTGCAAGAAGGAGATAATCGTGTGGATCACCATTGGAGGGCGTCATCTTTTTGTGCCTACAAATGTGAAAGACTAAATGTGAATAATGATCCACACGCTTTTCTCCTTCTTTCAAACGAGAACTCTTTCTCCTTATCCTCGGTGGCTGGCTAGGCGCATGCAAGGAAGAGGCTACCAAGTGTTTGGATTATTTTTCTCAAGACTATAATGGTGTCTTGAGGTTAGGTGATCGTGCAACGAGAGAGAGAATGAAAGGTTGGAGCTTTTTCTTTTTCGAATTCTACACACTCATAGGAGAGATGATGCATCAGGTTTTTATAAAAAACTGATCAACCAAATAAGCCCCTCCTATGATTAGGCGGACAAGTTAAAGTGATGAGATAGACTTTCCTTGATTCTCTCCATCTCATTATGCGCCCCACATCAGCTCCCTTTAATTAGGCGCACACATTAAAAGGATGAGAGAGACTTTCCTTGATTCTCTCCCTTGATTAGGCGCCCCTCATCAGCCACCTTTAATTAGGCGCACATATTGAATGATGAGAGGGACGTTCCTTGATTCACTCCCTTTAATAATGCGCCCCTTTAATACCTTTCCTTTCCTCAAAAACTTTGTTGCAACGGTATTCATTTAAATTCCAAATTCAAATGAGAAAGTAGTTAAGAGAATCTTCATCCAATCTCTGTTGGATTATTCTTTTAAATAATTTTAAATTATTCTCAACAACCTAACCTCATAGAATTTAAAATTCAAGTTCAAATTTCAAATTCCAATTTGAAATTTAAACTTTAAATATAAATTCAATCTTATCCAAGTTCGTAATTCGATTTCGAAATTCAAATTTCAAATTTCAAAATTCAAATTTCAAAATTCAAATTTCAAATTTGCCCAAACCTTATTTTGGTCAAGTCAACTCTTTGACTTACTAGGATTCATGCCCCAAGGCTTCTTTGGCCTATCATCATATTTGGGCCTATCATTGCCACTACTTTCTGAACCTAAATTTCATTGATGATGTTGATTTTGTGGTAGATTGTTTGCTTTCACTATTATAAAGCCTTGATCTTTTAATTTTCCACCATTATGCATTTTTCGCGTTTTCCTCATTGATAACCCTGAAACATAAGCATATAAAATGAGAAAAAATTATAAAAAGAATATCCCTGAAATCTTTGTTCAACATTTTGAGAAGATTGATTATTTGCCAAGAAAGTTTGTACTTGATCTACATACCGCTCCCACAAAGTACACTCAGGCTTGTGATATTCCAAATCCTTTTGTCGGCTTTGCTCTACAACAGAGCTGCAAAAAAAAAAAAATACATGGTCATCTAATAGAAGAACAACTTGACAATAGCATGGATTCTTCCACCCTACAAAACTCATACATACAATAGTTAAAAAAAAGCATATCACAATATTGTGTTATGGAAAAAAATACTTGTAGAAGAAAAAAAGATTGAGAAGAATGTCATACCTTCCTCCGAGGAAGTAAAGAAATACATATTCTAGTGATTCCGAATCATCCCGTCAGCTTTACTCTACAATAGTGCTACAAAAAAAATGAAAAATCTTATATGTTCATCTAATAGAAGAACAACTTGATAAGATGAAGAAGATAAATAGAGAGGGAAGAGAAGAAACATATGCACAAAAGCTTATTACCAAATGAAAAGACCCAGTAACACATATCCTATTTATACACAAAATAATTTCGTTTTTTAATAATTAAGCCCAATAGTGGGATATTAATGGGGTTAACAATTACCTATGCAGAAAGTAGTAAGATATTAATGATGACCTCTTTTTCCACCTTTAAGTTTAAATTTTGAATTTGAATACTTTTCCACCTACCAATGCAAAAAGTAATGAGATATTAATACTTTTCTACCTACCCTTGCAGAAAGTAGTGGATCATTAATACATGTGTCTTCCACTATATTTTTTGAATTATTCTTCCCACTCATTTCAAATTTCAATTTCGAATTTTGAATTGAGAACATCATTAATACAGCTGTCTGTCACCAAGTATTTTATAATGATTTAAAAGAAACTCTCCTTCCTTTGTAGAATTTTTTTATTTATGAAATAAAAAACATTTCCAAAAGAAGTAACTTTTCAAACTATCTCCAGTGTGAACACAAAGCTGAGAATTAAGGAGGAAGTGACACGTCAGCAAAGTTTCCAAAGTTTGGTTCTCCTTTCTATATATTAAGATAAGATTGACACTTGAATTAAAAAATATTCTTTTTTTTATCGTATATACGTCATAAAAAATATTCCATTTTAACTAATCCATCACGTCTAATTGGTGATGATATATGTCTACCATAAATATTTCACTCCGCTTGACACAAGATAAGGCGAGTTTCAAAAAAAGAGAGATATATATATATATATATATATATATATATATATATATATATATATATTAAAGAAAAACTAATTTTTTTAATTCAATACTTTATTGTTAATTAGATTAATGTTTGATATGTATGTTTACTGTGAAATCATAAGAAGGAACTTGGACTATTTATTCGATCATTAAAATTTATTTATTTTCATGGCTCAAAAAGGGAAAATGTTAATGTTCTGCGGATATATTGGTAATAATTAGAGGATCCTTATAAGTTACATTCAAATAATAAGTTTTTTTTTTTGTAAAGGCAAAATCCACTTTAGTGAACTCTATGTTTCGAAAGGTTAGTATTCGTCTATCGGCTGCGGGATACCTTGAAGAAATTCAAAAAATAATAAGGTTTTCTTAAGCAATCAACTAAAATAAAATATATAAAATGTATGAGAAAAAATAGGTAAAATGTTTGGATATTTTTTTTTTTAAGCTAGAAATTACTTTTAAGTTAGAGCTAAAAAAAAAGAGCTTAAAAAAAGAAAAAACTAAAAGCTATTTGATGATTACATAAAAAATTTAACTTAAAAGCACACATTTCAAGAAAAATATCTCTCTATCTTTATAGCTATTCATTTCAAAAAAAAAAAAATTACACAATTTAAGAAAAAATGATAAGAAGCTAAAAATAAGGGTGTGTTTGGTACAAGAGAAATTTTTTTGTGTCCGGGAATTATGATATCCAGTAATATACAAAGAAATTCAATTTACCGGGAATGATATAAAAAAGTTGCTTGGTAGACGTAAATATTACTGGGAATATTTAATAATTTTACTGAGTATATGTTTGGTTGTGAGTAAAATATTACTGGTAATATATGTTGATTTTACAAAACTAACCTTAACTTTTCATTGACACCAGACCTACTAATTTGATGTGTGTTGGGAGTATTATTGTCTCAAAAATATGTTATTTGTTTTCCCCTCCCTCAGTAATCATGAAAACCGCCTAATTTTTGGTAATCCAAACAGTAATTTTTCTTTGTAAAATGCTTTACCGATAAAGCTTGGATACCCAGGAATTGATTTTTGATACTTCTACCAAACATAGGAATCGATGTTTTCCAAAGAAAGTTTACCGGTAATCCTTGTGATACCCTTATACCAAACACCACCTAAGAGGATTCAAAGAGGCACTCCCTATAAACAAGAATGATAACTTGATTTATTAATCTTCATTTATTAATCTCCTTTGCCAACATTCATGGCATGTGCATTGAATATAGGGGAGGGGGTATTTGGTACATGGATTATTTTTTGATTCTTGAAAACTGATATTGGAAATTTTATTTACCACATTTGGTAGAAGATTTCAAAATCAATACTTCCAAAGCTTAAAACTATTACGTGACAACTCAAATAGTTCTTATATTTATCGCGTTTCATCACGCAATAACATTTTAGACTTAAAATATGTGTTCAACGTATGTGTTGGTCTCTCTTATGTTGAAATTACACTTAATTTAATAACATAAAGGTAAGTAGAATCAAAACTATTGACCACCAAACCATGAAAGCGAAACGGTTGATTTTTATATCTAACAACCGTGTTAGTTGGATCATGACATGAAGACAGTAAAAAACATTTATACCAAAATGTTAATTACTCAAAGAGAAATGTTAAAAATCAAAGCTAAATAATATAGTTATACAAGTTGTAACATCAATGTCTTCTCTCACGCCCACAGAAGCCAAATGTCAAGTGAAATTAAATAACATAACATCATTAGAAATTTCCATACACAACCATTAGGTTTGCAGCTCTCCAAATATGGATGCATGCTACCTGGCTGCGATGCATAATTTCCCTCTCCGAATGTAATAATGTTTATTCCTGTAACGAGCATCAACCTTTAAGCAATACAATCCATAGTAATTATATGATAAGAGATTGAAATAGTAACAGTAATCATAAAAGGAAAATAGGACGGAGGAACCTTCTGAATTCTATAAATCAACAAGTAATTACATGTGAAAAGAAGTAACCTAGATGGTAAGTAACTAAGCCAACCACATATTAATTAGCCTTTAAGATATTTTTCTTTCTAGGTTCTAACTACACAGTTTAAAAGAAAAATGCAGTAACCTAAATACATTATATAGTTATATACAAACCTTCACATTATTCCTCTCTTGCGTTTATGTACTTTCCATTGTTTCAACAGAAATTGTACTCCTTCTTGCAAAGTTGCTCTCCTTCCCTGTCCATAGTTCCATAATTCTGAGGTTATGTACCGCCCACTAGGATTATATTCATTTATCTCTGTTAAAGCTTCCACTACTGCACTATATGCCCTTTCACCCAGGTCATTTTTCAGCCCATTCAGCTTTTCATCGTCATCTTTAATAATTTCCTGAAATGAAAAATGCATGAAGTGAGATAACAAAGTAAGCGTTCAAAGTTTCACCAAATAAATTAGAAAAATAATGCAATATGAATGTAGATTAGAATAAATCTGAAAATCTTGAATAGATGAAATTGCTATCTTGGAAAGATAGTCCTAAAGCAGTAGAGGAAGAATAAAGTTAGGGGTGTTCCTGATGAAAACAATCATCAATGAACCAAGGCAGTGACCCAAGCACATCAAGACAGATATCCAACTTGGCTTTCCTAAATATAGGCAACATTGATCTTAGTCAAGGAAGATTCCAAATTAGTTGATGAAAGGGACCATTAATTTTAATGTGGCATCCTGATTTTTCAAGTATTTCAGGATTTGCTAGGAATTGGAATCAGGTATGAGAATTACTGTATTCACAAACCAGACTTCCCTCTTCAGAACTGAGATTAATCTGACATCACTATCTAAGGAGGGATTATAGAGTGTATCTCTCATTCTCACTCTCTGATGCTGGAACACAAATAAAAATATAAGGTAAAAGCAAATGCAACAAGTTCTCAGCTCTCTTGATTGTAGGTTCTAAACATAATATCCTGCACTTCCTCCTTCTTATACGCTCATTTCCAACAAACGAATTCCCTCCTTCTCCCACTACTCATTGTCAGCTCAATAATTGGTTATGCTCTAGACTATCAGTATGAATATTTCCCTTATTTCACACTGTGTCCTCCTTACATATGTATGCTGATCCTCTACTTCCCATCCCCTTCCTTGTACAATACAATTTAGCAGTAAGGATCTATCAGGATACAAGTAAATTTTCCCAACTCCCATTCGATAAATGCACCAACATCATTTTCAAATTTGAACGCAGCACATCTACAACTTTTGAAAAATATTTTATTTTATACTGTTCAAGCCTTCCAGGTTTACAATTCACAAGGACAAAACGCAATTGCTGCTATCAGGGAGGTTCAAACTCCAAAGTTCAAAATACTAACAGGTTGGCCACTATTCTTGGTTGTCAGATCATTCTTTTTCCTGTTAATTGCCGATGACACTTCAAATCAGCAAAAACCTTCATTCCAATAAACATTAGATCCTAAAGTGAAAGAATCAATATAAACAATGCCTTGGATAACACTAGGTGAAAGAATTACAGGTTCAGAAGGCCAAATAGTTCTAGTCTAGAGTACAGGGACCATCAAAACATTCAGTAACTTCCTGAAAAGGTACGCCAAATATAAATAACAGAATGAGCCAAATATAAATAACAGAATGAGCCAAATTTGATTAAGAAACAGAGACATGCAACGAAGCAGCTAGATTTCAGGATAATTTCAGGAGATCTATATGTTTAGCAAAGACACACCTTTTCTTTCCCTTCAATTATGATAACTTTGAATGGATGCCAATCTGGGTCCTTCAGATACTCTTCCCACAATGAACACAGTTCTGAAGCTCTCTCTTCAGCTTCCTCCTCATTATATCTTTTCTTCATAGCTTCATGGAATGGTCTGGTGTCAAGTTCTCCCATTCTCTTCACACCAATATGGGCACGATTTGTTATCTCTTTAATACCCTGTAAGAGAGAAAGACTATTACCAAATCTTGCCCGCAATGTTGGACAGTAAAAAGTTGAAGAAAGCTTTAAAATGCAAGAAATTTTCAGAACATAAGGTCTATGATAAAAGTAACATAACATATGAGCAGTGAATATCCACACAATCATAATTCGTCTCTTCTGCATAAACAGATGGACCATAAAAAACATTTTGAGTAATAAAATTCAATTAGATGAAATAGAAACAATAAGATTTTAATTATACTCAAGTTACTTGGCTACCTTGCTCTGAACCATAAAAATTAACAACATAGAGTAGACCAAATAGAAAAAAGAAGAAAAAGAAAAGGAACACACTACAAAAAAAAAATGTAAATTTATAAGAGTACGTGTGCTTCAATTCATATAAAACTTCAAACGGGCAAGTAAAATCATCATAAAAACATTACATGTGAAACAGTCTAAATGTGAAATAACCATAAAACTAGACCTCGTTGAACAGATGCTCTTCCAAATAAATTTAAAGAATCAGTAACCTGGTAAGGGAAGATATATATGGAAAAAAAAAAAACTTACATTAATCAATTCTTTTCGAGCTTCCTGCAGCTCATCATTGCTCTTACGCTCTTTAATGATAAGTGTTTGGTTCAATGCATCTAAGTCTTGAAGTGACTGTTCCTTTTCTCTTAAACCCTTATGCAATGCATCTACCTTCTTCAGAATTTCTGCATCTTCACCATCTTCTATGTGTTTCAACACATTTAATGATCCTTTTAGTTGCTGAATCTCCAATTCCAGCTTTTGTTTCATATCCAGTTGTTTTTCAAGCTGAATGATTTTAGCATGGAGTTGTTCTTTTTGCTTCTGCACAAATAGATACAAATAGTATTAATACGATGCTATTTTGATGCTGACAAGGATCCTTTTGGTCAATAACAAAACTTAAAGACGGTAACACAAACCTTTTGATCTCCAGCCAGTTTCAAAACATTTTCATCAGCTTTCTGTTGCTCTATAGCAGCCATCTGAAGAGAGCTGTTTTTCATTGCATTCTGCAAAGACAATGAATGCAAGCAGTGTTGAACAAAGCCTTATACAAGATTCTAGAGAACATTATTAGTTTAAATGATTTCAAAGACACAGGAAGAACAGATTATGTCAAAATTTTGGTTTTTATAGTCCTTTGGCAAGATCCTTAATGGGAGTATAAAGAGTAAAGGAAAATTTCATCTCATCAAATGTATGGCATATGACAACTCAATGGAGTTTATAATTTTAATTATTATTCAACAGTTATTGCTAAATATTGGTGCCATTGTTCAAAAGCCTCTCTTGTGACACGCCAAAGGGACAAGACCACTGCCTTGATCAAAATCGCAGACAGACAAACACGAACTCACAGATTATGAGCTGCCATTGAGCATTGAATCGTCAAATAATTTTTCTTTGAAGTAAATACACTAGCAATCCAGACACTAACTAGTTTTGGATTCATAGCCTTCATAACTACTCAAACAGAAACCCGAATCGTCATATACCCAGTATTCGATAATTAATTATCCATATAAAGTCAAATTAAAATAGTTTTCAACCAATCATTTCATGATCATCAAACCCAACCGGAAAAATGATTAACCTTGGTTGCTAACTCCTTCCTGAAAGCACTGAAACATCTATATATCAACCATCTGAGTAAATATTAATCAACCTTAAACAATAATTTTATTCTTTTAATCTTAAAATCACAGGAATCCCAATCATAGCATGACAGAGCAGATGCTACAAAATAAGAAAAATACTATACCTCATCAATGTCTTCTGCCAACTTTTTTCTTTCACTTTCATTATGTGCTTCACGTTTTTCCAATTCAACTTTTCGCAACTCAAGCTCACTTTTCTGAGATTCCAGTTGCGACTTAAGCTTTTCATGATCATTAAAAATCCTCTGGAAGTGATCCCTTGCACTTGACTGTATTTTCTTTATCTCTGAATACAAGGAATTATAGCATAAAACATTGTTGTTACAACATATCAGCATCATTCAAAACTAATAATCAATTGAAAAAAATGTAAAAAATAATTTGAGCACAATATTCTTAAGAAAAAAAAAAAAAAAAAAATAATAATAATAATAATAATAATAATAATAAAAAAACAAATATCTTCTAAAATTCAGATTCAACCCTGTGTTCCAGAAACTGACACTCGGGCAATTGTATGTGCAACCAAAGTACCTGTTGCACCAATACTTGGCCTTCTACAACTACACAAATTAATCAGAAACATGAAACACCAACAGCCACAACGGACACGAGTCCTAATCCAAATTAGCAAAAAGCATCTTGGGCAAAATAAAAATAGATACCTTCATTATAAGCTTGAACAAGGTCATCTTTTTCCTCCATAGCAATGTCGATTTTATTTGCAGTCTCAGTGCATCTTACTTCCATCTCTTTTAAGTGCTCACTCTTGACCTGAATAATGTTAGTTAAATTGGACACGAGTTTATCCTGCCTTCTAGCTTCTTCTTCCATAAGTTCAGGTATGGTTTTGACATCCCCCATCTTTCGCAGATTGTCCCCTATGATATTGTTCATTTTGTAGTCATCTGCTCGGGCAACCCATGCATAAAGACCAGACTTCTGCTCAGAACTAGCAAACCAATCTTTTTTCCCATGATGATCTAATTCATATGCTCTTTCAAATGCCAATGCATTATCCAAGCCTGGCCAGTTTTTATTGAATTCCACAAGAGCAGTTCCAGAGTGACCCCGGAAATTCCACAGAGGATTGACTCGAACTGGATTAAAACCCTTGCTTCTGTATTCATCCCTCAGCTTGGAACCACTCTCCCCAACAAAGCGTCCATCCTCTGCCCGTCTTGTGGTAATATTAACTACAATTCCTATCCAAGGCCACACAAACTGCTCATCACAATTAACAGGAGGATCACTTTCATCTGCAGGTTTTGATGGAACATCTACCATCATAAGATCCTTTTCCAAATATTTCACTAAAGCCAAATGATTAGCCTTTTCTCTTGCCTTTCTCTTTTGTGAACTACTCTGACCCACCCCAGAAGCATGTTGAAGGATTTCCTTCAACAAATAATCCCGTTTTCTCTTTTTAGGGCAGTATGGACAAGTGAAAGTCTCATCCGAGGTTTTCACATTCTGACTTCCATTTTTTAGTTCTTCGTAACATTTATCTTCATATTCACTTATTTCAGATTCACTTATATCAGTATCCTCATCAGATCCGTGAGCCATTACAGTTCCTCCTACGCTTATTATAATATTACCTGAAAGACAAATGTAGTGTTAGTACTGACTGTTGTTCTGTTCCTTTGCAGATTAATTCTATTAAATATCATATTCAGAGCATGGGAAAAACACTAAACTCGAACAGAAATTTTATTCAAATCACTTTATTGAAATGGATCCTCCATTACTTAAAACATTTGAAATTAGAACGTTCCTTCAAATGTGTAAATGGAACTAAATACTGTGTAACAGATTAAGCATGAACAAACAGCCTGGAACCAATGTTCAGAAATAAATAAACAAATATACTGTAATCAAAACCACAAAAAGTATATTAACCAAAACCGTTCATATTAATAACTTGCAGTAATTTGCCCGCGGTTAACATGGGGTATATAATCAGCAGCAATAGAAAATTGAAGCACGCAGACATTCCCAAATCTTTAGTCATGCATTCAGTAATCAACAAATGACCGATTAATCCTTGTAAAGAAATTCAAAACAACTTATCATTATCAGCATTCCCTAATTCTTATTCCAACACAATGTCCCACAAGTTCAAAACAGTTTATAATCAAATCTTACTAAAAGCTTTTGGCAGAGAAAAAAAAAAAAAACGTTTACTAAAAATTAATCAAAAACAAACATGCACTGATAGCACATGCATGAAGCCACACTTCAAACCTAAAAAATCAATTCAACTCAATCAAGTTCACTCAGAAAACATAGGCATCCAAAAATCAAACCCAAATATAAGTCAAAACTGAAAAGTATCTACAGCAACCCAGAAAGCCTGTATCAATCAAACACTCAAGAATCTTCTCCTTTTTCCCTTCTTTTCCCTAAATATTATGAAATTATTGCTACAGTATCCGACAGGGAAAAAAAAAAAAAAAAAACAGAAAATGACCACGCATTTCAGTGATTGATACCAAGTGCATGCATGAGAAGAATCCAAGTTTAGAGGAAGAATTCTTAGTGATAAAAGGGAAATGCAGAGAAAAATTTGACGAATTGGGTGAAAATTCAGAGAAATTTTGACCTTGGAAAAATTGGAAGGTCACTGAAAGTGGATCTGTTGTAGGATAGTGTGACCTAACTATGTACCTGAGAGGAATCACGAGAACACGATGATCGTGTTCTGATTTGGGGGGTTTGACCCTCGAATCTTAACCAAAGTTCAGCTCCTCCTACAACAACAACAACAACAACAACAACTCACTCTTTACTAGGCTTTAGTTACTCATAGGTCATTGTCATGCTGAAAAAAACTGTCCTTTTTCTTTTATTAATTTTAGGAAAAAGTGACGTGTATTCCTTAACACCCAAAATTTCTAAAATGCCCTTATTATATAAAAAGAAAAAATATTTATCTTTTAAGATGACACAACTTATGTCGTATCACCTTCACAAAGAGATAGACTTACATCTTTATTTTATTTTTTATCCTCTCTCTTCCCCTCTATTTATCTCTTTTTCTCACCTAAAATAATATAATTTTACGTCCTTTAAAATCACATACATTTTTTCTATGTAAAATATAATAAATATCCTTTCATCGCATGAAGTGCTATAAAAACATATTATGATAACGCTACAGCTATAAAAAAACATAACTCATCCTTTAAAGGAAGGGTAAAATCTTTCTTTATAATTTCACATGTAATCCATTAATTAGGGAGGGTATGATGTTCAACTTTTTTTTTTTATACAATAATGATACTGAAGTTCCAACTTATCATCTCATATAAATTATTTTTTTTCGATAAACTTACTTTATACAAGTTACTTAAATTCCTTGTGACTATACCAATCTTAATAAGAGACTGTTAGTTTATATATATATATATATATATATATATATATATATATATATATATATATATATATATATATATATAAAATGATCTTTTGATATTAGTATGTAATTAAAAAGTTTAATCTCTAATCTTAATTATTGATTTTTGAGATTCTAACGATTATAATTTATTAAGACACACTTATTAATTGTAAATTATAACCGTTAGATTGACATAAATTAACAGTCAAGATTTGATATTAAATATTTCAGTTTAACATCCGTGTCAAATGATATTTTCCTACATGTTTTTTACCTAAAATAATTTGTTTCCCTATTACTAGAGAAATACTGGATTTATATGTGTATATATAATATTTTTTATATTTTATTTATTTATTTAAAGTAATTTTAATATTTTATTTATTTATTTAAAGTAATTTTAATATTTTATACTATAAAGATATCTTTATATCGAAAAATTAAGCTGTATATGTTATAATCACATGAGATAAATTTAGAATTTAGAAACACATAAGAATTTAGAATTTAGAAACACATAGGATAAAAGTGAAATTTTCAGAAAATTTTAATAAGGTCAAATACAAAATTTAAACGTCAGAGTTTGAACTTCGAAGCTAACAGCACGCTCGCCGATAGTGTGAGGTTGTGGAGATTAGGTGGAATTTTCTGATTGGACCGCGACACGTAGAGCATAGGAACAAACCCAAATTGAAATGACAAAAACGCCGTCTGTGGGGATCGAACCCACGGCCACGTGGTTAAAAGCCACGCGCTCTACCACTGAGCTAAGACGGCTTTGTTGAAATTATGCCGAGTGAAATAATTCTTAATCCTAAATACAAGTTACCTTTTTTGGTAAACAAACTATTATCATTATTATTCTCTAGCCTGTGCCACTTTAAAAAATAATAATAATATGTACAAAAATAAAAATAATAATAATAAAATCATTTTGCAAGTCACAAGGCACGGGATACTTGCAAGGTCCATGTATCATACGCACTCTTGAACTCAAATATTTTCTTTTTATAAATCACATGTATCTTTGAGGAATGTAATCTTATTCGAATGGTGAATATTCACATTATAATATGATTAATTTTATTAAAGAAATTGTTTTGCATTCACAAAAATTTAAATCAAAATCTTACTTGAATGAAATCAAATATGTATTAGTTGAACTAACTTATTTTGATGAACCCAAATACTAGTTACTTTTCATATGCAACTTGTATATACGAGCATATTGTCTTTGTCACGGAACCAAAAAGAAACGTGTTTCTCCTATATAAACACATACTGACATACCTTCAGGTTTAGAAAAATGAATGTTTCATTAATAGACCACTATGCTGACATTATGAAACACGGTCTATTAAGGAACAAATTTTCGGTACAAGTAGGTACAACTTTACCAAAAAAAGAAAAAAAAATATGAATATCAAAGAAAATAATTATAAAAATAAAAATATAATAAATGTGTTACCTTTTTTTTCATTAAAGGATGTATCAGTATCAGTGGGCAGTGGTGGAGCCAAACTAAAAATTTAAGTGGTGTCAAAAAATTTCGACAAATTAAATTATCAAAATATTTATTGTAATTACGCAAATTAATCAGGAAAAAAATTTACTATGAATTCTAACATAGTTATCTAAATTATGTATTAAATAATGTCACATAACATTGAAAATTCAAATGAACAATTATCAATGATTATATATCAAAACAAACATATAAAAAGGCACTAACCTTTTCGATAAGCATTTCAAACATAAGAATTTCACTTTCCTCCCACAGCATAATAAGTAATGAACCAAGTATTGTCCTAAGGATATAAAAACACATAAATATAATACATATATGCATAATAATATTTAATAAATAATTTAAAATATAATAAAAAAATGCATACCTAAAATTGTAAACGACGCTCTTTTAAATTGACGAAATCTTCAAGGATAGAATCTGTAGTAAAAGTTTCAGCAATCTCTCTTTCAAAATACACAATCAAATTATTTGCAAGAAAGTCATCCTCCATGTTGTTTCGAAGCCTTGTTTTCACAATTTTCATTGTTGAGAATGCACGTTCACCACTTGCTGTTGAAAATGGTAGTGTTAAAATAAGACGAATTAGCCTATCAACCAAATGATAGGAATTTGACTTTCCTGTCTTAGCTAATCCTTGACACAACTCATAAATTGAAGATACATTTTGAAGTATTGGATGTTTTGGGATGTCCTTGTGGAAATGCTTCAATTGACAATTCAAATTAATTATCTCATGCTAGGAAAAATCAAGAGGATAGTATTTCTCTGCAACACTACAAATATCATCAACATTAAATGATTTGTAACCATCCTTCGGATCTAACGAAGAGCTAAGTGATAAAAGTTCCATCGATTGCTCATTAAACCTTATATCTAACTCTTGTAATTGAAAGTCAATGGCTAAATTAAAGATATCAAAATGATAATGATGCTCAATAGTTATTTGATCAAGTTGTCGACGACCACGACCTTCAATATATTGAGCATTAAAATCTGGAACATCTATTTCATGAAACTTGGAAAAATTAACAACACTTTGAAGTATTTTTTTCCAACCATCATCTCGTAATTCTTGAATAAGCTCCTTTGTACTTGAAACTAATTGTATAGCATTCAAAACATCTTGAGATTTTTGTTGTAATGCTTGACAAAGAATCTCAGTGATGCTCATTATCTCTTTCATCAAAAATAAATTAAAGATAAACTCAAAGGAAGTGATCATCTTATAAGCTGCAGTAGCTTCTCCTCTTTGAGAGTAATTTGTTCCTTCACTACGAATTATTTCAAGTACTGAACATGATTCATTATACCTTCGTTGAAGACTGCATATGGAATAAAAATGAGAACCCCATCTAGTATCACTAGCCCTCTTTAATGTACCTACTTGGTTAGAACCTGTACCAGTTTCAAGTTCACCAATAGCCTGCAAATGTTCAAATTCATAAATTTGGGCAGCTTAGAATTGATCATGACGCTTAAAAGAAGCAGTGATAATATTAATGATGAAATTCAAATTCTGAAAGAATTGATAAATAGAAGAAACTTCCTTTGCGGCAGCAATCAAGGCTAATTGCAATCAATGAGCAAAACAATGCACATAATAAGCACAAGGACATTCCTTAAGAAATAATTCCTGCAATTTGTTCCATTCACCACGCATGTTACTAGCACCATCATATCCTTGGCCACAGATATTCTGGATATCAAGGCAATGATGTGAGAGTATTTCACTAATAGCATTTTTAAGTGTCATAGATGATGTATCTTGAACATGATAAAGATAAAAAAAAAATCTCTCTTTTATGAAACCATCTTTGTCAACAAATCTCAAGACAAGAGCCATTTGTTCCCTTTTGGATTCATCACGTGCTTCATTCACAATAATACAAAACTTAGAGACCCAATATCTTTGTGAATCTGTTTTCGCACTTTGTTTGCTAGAACATATAAAATCTCCTTTTGTATTTGAGGTGAGGTATACTTGGATGTCAATGGAGCATTCTGTAGAACAACATCTAAAACATTTTCATTGTAAGATGCCAAAAGTTTGATCATTTCAATAAAATTACCACTATTTCTTGAATTAATAGTCTCATCATGCCCTCTAAAAGCACATCCTTGAAAAGAAAGCCAACAAGCAACATCAATTGAAGTCTTAACACGCAACCTATTTTTCAATTTGTTGGGAGCTTTGAGCATGCATAACTTTGTCAATATGACAAGGCTGATTCATTAAGGCTGCACATGAGATGAGTGCATTATTATGTTGTGAACAAGGATCATCTCCCATGTGACTTAGAAAAGCACAATACTTTCCACAATGAACTTTATGCCAACTATTAAAACCCTTGATTGTGAATGCATCCCAACCATGTCGCCCACCGACTTTTGTAGTGAAAAGATAACATGGTAAACAAAATGAAGCATCTATATAAGGTGAATACTCAAGCCACGAAGAAAATTATTTGAACCAAGAAGCTTGAAAACGTCGAGGATGCTTCTCCTTTGAAAATGGATAGGAGCATTGAGGTTGATATGGCCCAGCTATTAAATAAGCTCTTCGTATGTCATCGTCTTCATTAGCTGAATATTCCCAAATTGGCTTACGTTTGCCTGGATCACGTTCAAAAAATTTACTTTTGACTGTAATAATGTCACAGTACGTTCAATTCTACGACACTTGGAAGGAGGTTGCTCATGAGAAGCTGCATCACTTTTAGAAATCATGTTCGTAGGTTCATCACTTGATTTACTTTCAGATACTACTTTCTTTTTAAAGAATACATATATACTTTTCTGTTTATCCTTGCCCATACTTTAGAAGTCCCCAAGTTTCAGAATAACAAGATAAGAACTGCAATGAGAAAAAAAAAGACCATTCTCTAGTGACAAATAAAAACTAGTGTAGCAAATAAAAAAATAAAAAATAGAATATTGTATACTAAATAAAAAAAAGCCTTGCTATAAATTAAGATATCAAGGAAGACATCAACTTTACAATTGAGATATTAACTATAAATTAAAGCATATAGGCAGCATTTAGAGTCAAAGGGATTCTCTTTCATTATACTTTTCTATTTACAAAATATATTTTTGTTTGATTCTTCCATCTTTTCATTTCGTAACACCTACTGCATTATTGTAATCTTCATAGTTCATATAAAAAAATAATGGACAACCTCTTATAACTTTCAAATATGATTTTGGTTAATTAAATATGTACAAATTTCAATTGGTTATCTCAAAATTAGTATTAATCCCCCTCTTTTTTTATGCTGGAATATTATTCCTTCATTGGAGGGTTAAAAAAGTAAATAAGTAAATAAATAAATGACTGAGATAGGATTTCAAGGGATTGTTATAATATCTTTATACATTTGGTATAGTATTTATTATATTGCCCGATAATTTTTTTTAGAATAAATACTTAGAAAACTTATTAAATATAAGTTACTACCAAAAAAATTTATGACGATTTACCTAGGTACCAAACCCAATTAGTGTCTAGGATTTTAACCTTAATATATACATGACTTGGTTATATATACTTATATTCATGAAAAAAAGAGAGGAAAATAAATGGTGTAAGGAAATGTGAAATTCAGTGTTCGTATAAAGATTAAAGTTACCTTTGATGCAATAATCAGTGAGACACTATACGTCTATACCGAATTATGATTTTTTTTTTCTTTTTTCTGTTTAGGAATCTTTCTTCCTTATGTTCTCCATTGATTCTTATTTAACTTTTGTGTTTTTCCCTGTGCTGGATCAGTGTGAACAACCTGACAAATGCGGGCATGAGTTATTTAATATTAAAATTTTAGACTCTAAATATATAAATAAATAAAGAAAATTCAAGCTATACTTGACCCGTTAAGGGCACGAGAGAGCTTGGTATGATGTATAAGGTATGATAGTATAAGCTTATACAATACATTATGACATTTTCAGTTGTTTGGTGTAACCATTGTATAGTATAAACTTATACAGCAGGATATCTTAATACATCAAAATGATGTATAATTTAATCAGGTCTAGGGGGTGGGATTAGACCTGATTAGAGTTTGATGTATTAGGTCCCATATTTCTCTTCCCATTCTACCCCTTTCTTCCTCGTTCACCTTCGCCCTTCGCTTCTCTTCTCCCTCTGCTGCCATCGACGGTGACCACATTTTCCAAATCTGATAAGGAGCCCTAATTGCAAATTCCTTTCCCTAAAACTTGTAACATTCTATCTCCTACACAACAACTGATTTCGAGCTCGAGCCCAGTTACCCATTTATGTTTTCTCCATGTTTTTTCTCTCTCAACAACAATTCAATGTTCAGTCACCTGGTCAATGCAATACTATTTTATCATATTAGAATTCTCTCAAGATTCCCCCTCCTTCAACTTTTGATGAGCTTTCCCAGGAAAGACGGTGGGATAACGACATTCCATTTCATGGAACCCTAATTTTGTTTATTTATTTAATATCCAATTGGGATTCTGAATTTGCGAATATTTTTTTTTGACATGTTAACTACCTATCATTGCATTTTTTATAGGAAAAAACATATATCATTTTAAAAGGATATAAGGTTATATATAAATTTTAGTCCATCAACGGTTATAAATAATAAATTATAACCGTTGATGGAAGGAAATCAACGGTTAGGATCTAAAATAATATAAGCTTATATCCTTTAAAATGACATATGTTATTCCTTTTTTATATTGTAAAGCTTACAGGATAGAATTTCAATTTTATTGAACAGTAAAATAGAAGTACTCTAGTTTATCGGAATCAATTATGATACTTTGATGATACATTTTCTCTTGATTCTGGAAACTGTATTTCATTTTTTATGCATGATCTATTAGGGTAATTTTGTCAAAAATATTTATTTTTATCCTATCTAATATTATATAGTGTATTACCAAACACTGAATAGTATTATCTTATACAATACATTACCTTATATAATAGCATGCCAAACACAAGAGAGTATTAAAACTTAATCAAGGCTTATACAATCAGGCCTTGTACTATCAGGTCTTATACTATTAGGCCTTATCCTATACTATGCACCAAACATGCCCTGAGTTTTGCTTAGCCTGTAGTGGGCCAGGCCGAATTAAGCCAAGCCCGTATTGAGGCAACCTAAATTTAGCCCAGTCTGTAATGGGCCAGCCTGAATGGACTAACGTGACCCAAATTGAGATCTCTAATTATGTAGTGGAATTTGTATATGAGAAGCTCTAGCATAATTCTAGAATATATTAAAAAATATGCTAGTTAAATATGCGCAAAAATTTTCATTTATAGATATAAAACAAAATTAATGTTGTAGTACTAAGTTTCTTGATAGAGTTCTCATTCAAACTGTCACAAGAAATTTAAAAATTCATTAACACAAAAGAATCAAAATATGTGAAGCAACCATACATGCTTGGCTTCATGCTATACAAAAAAGTAGCATCTCTTTCTCTATATATATATATATTTCTTCAAAACAATGTAAACTGAGGGTATGCTAAATGCATATCCCATGTATTTTCTCTTCTTCTAAGTACGAAGAGGAGAAGCAGATGAACTTGGATTATTAGAAGTTCCTTCTCCATTCAAAGACTCGTTGATACTTTTTCTATGTGGTTTTGAACCATTGCTGTTTGAGCTTCCCACTCCATCTGTGTCTTTAGAATCCTGAAGTTGCTCCAATATTCTCACAACCTCATCTATGTTTGGTCTAAATTTTGGTTCTACAGAGAGGCATTGAATTGCAAGTAGAGCTACTTTCATTGCTTCACGTAATAAGTATTGGCCTTCTATACGTGCATCCATAACTTGAGAGATCTTGCGTTTGCTGCTGAGTAATGGTTTTGCCCATTCAACTAAATTATGCTCCCCAGATGGCCTATTTTTATCCAATGCACGTTTGCCTGACATAATTTCCAGAAGAACAACCCCAAAACTATATACATCACTCTTCTTGGTTAGATGACCTTCACAAAATGACAATAGGAAAAAGGTTAGGAGTGAAATTCGTGGTCATTTTTGGTTACACACTATTCAAGTTTCTCCATATAACATCCAGCTTTGAATGCTCATACACTATGTTCGGTCCGAGTAGACCGTGAGTATTTACCGTATAGATATGTGCTGAGAGATATCAATGATAAAGATACCGTATTGGCTTTAAGCCAATGTACCAATTATTGCGCACTGATGACAGGCGTATAGCCAAGATGTGGTGCACTCCAAATAGGAGTGTGATTCTTTGGGATAGGATGATCGAGTTATCCTCTAATAATTCAAATATTGTTAGGATAAGTCTCAATCTTATAAGTTGTTGAGATATGGATCCAGTCCATAACACACTAAATGAAAGGTATGATCATAGGATGAAATGTGAAGTGGTGTGCTAAAGTGACTTGGTGATACCTGTGGCTATATACTCAGGAGCTGCATAGCCAAGGGTTCCCATTACCCTTGTTGAGACATGGCTTTTATCACCTGCTGGTCCATCTTTTGCCAATCCAAAATCAGAGAGTTTTGCATGATAGTTCTGTCATCAACAAAAAGGAGTTTTAGAAAAGCCAGTCTAACTAATTATCTCTATCTTTAAGCTTGTAGTAAGATCAATGTGATTCACTTACAGAATCAAGCAAGATATTAGAAGTTTTGAAGTCTCGGTATATTACTTCTACTTCATCACTGTGAAGAAATGCAAGACCCTTGGCAGCTTCAAGAGCAACCTTCATACGGATTTTCCAAGAGAGTGGTTGAAAGTAAGAAGCCCCTGATTCAAAAATATAAGGCAGAGATGAGATTTTGAGGTGTCTAAGGTACTTAAGTACTAACTACTAAATAAAGTCAACCTGCAAAGAAACTTGAAAAAATGACAATACTAGAAGGAAAATTAAAAAACTTACTCCTAAACAAATGATTATCCAAGCTGCCCTTGGTCAAAAATTCATATACCAAAATCCGGTGATCATCCTCTAAGCAGTAACCAATCAGTTTCACAAGATTAGGATGATACAGCTGCCCCAGGTAGTTGATTTCTGTCTATAGTACGAAGTTACTTAGTCACATCACAAGGAATATCTAAAATATAGCACAAAAAAACAAGAGTCCCTAAAACATGTTTTTAAAACTAATTCAACATTTTCCTTAACTTCAAAATGCAACCAAGTTCTCAAGCTTAGAGCAAAGTTCCAAAGTGTAAAAGGGCCATGCTACGTGAAAGTGACACTCACCAACCATTCACTGTGTCCCTGGGAACCCTCTTGGTTAAGCCTCTTCACAGCAATGACAATTCCTGTCCCTGGTTTAGTAGGAGCAAGTGTCTGCTCATCAAGCCACCCTTTAAATACACAACCAAATCCACCTTCACCCACCACACTATCTGGACGAAAGTTTCTTGTAGCAGTTCTTAGCTCATTGAATGTGAAGTTCTTCAAATTGTTGGACTGTAATATCTCACCCTCACTCCGAGGAGTCTGAAGCACAGGTGAAGTGGAGACCTTGCCGCTTGAACCACTCAAACCTTCCTCTTCTCTGCTACCATTCTTTGAATTCAAACCTACCAATGTCAAAAGAGAAATATGGATTCACTTCTCAAGCCATGTATAAGCATTATATTGACAAACTCAGATTTCTGATTGATTGAAAAGGCCTTGGTCTGGTGCAGAGGGAGGGCAACAGTTTCTTCAACCAATCATCTCAGTAATGTCATTCCTATACTTTAATTTGTACAGTACTCTTTTACACTTATCATTTATCAAATAAAAGAGATATATATATATATATATATATATATATAGAGAGAGAGAGAGAGAGAGAGAGAGAGAGAGGGAAAGGGGAAGAAAAGAAGGTGTAGTAACATTATTGCCATCATATAGTACATTGTTTGGTTCCCAAAAGTGGATGAAAAGGAAAAATTCTTACATGAATATATTTCTTACTCCAAAAATAAAATCTCTGTTGTTGATTTTTCTCTCCATCTTTCCCTCTATACTTTTCACTTTCAAGTATATATGAAAAAAACACATATTTTAGTTCCCTCAGGATCTTCCTATCCTACATTTATTCTTAACAATTAAAAGTAGAAAGCGTGATTGAATTGAAGACAGTGGGAAAATCCTCACAGAAAAAGAGGGGATCTTTCAAGTTTCAATAACAAATTACACCCTCAGATTTTTAGACAAATTCCCACAATCAAACAAATAAGACTGTTCCATTTGATAACTATTTTTATTTACTTTGGATACTTTGCTAAACAATACATAACTCATCACATAGTATTCATTTGAAGCAAGTCTTTCTTGTGTTCGAGTCATACATTTAATCCAGACAGTAAAGAAAAAAAATCCCATAATTGTTGTTTTCCTTCCATCATTAACGAAGCAGCAAAATATTATCCACAAAAATACGAGCAATCAAAACTCCAATCTGAACAATCTCCTAATTAATCAAATAGAGCTAAGATATACAAGCTGATCAAGTAAAAAGAAGAAGGGTGAAACAAGGGAAGAATAGAGTAATAATGTTACCACAGCGTGGAGGGCTCTCAGCTTTAATCTGTACACCAAAGCAGCAACCCATGAACACAGTGCTCAAGAACACAGAACACCCTCTTGTCTCTCTTTTTTTCAGTGTAACCAGAAAAGCAGCTACAAGTAGAAAATTTCAATTTGAACACTAAGAAGTTTGCATAGGCAAGTCATTGATTGAAGGAGAAGAAAAGCAAAACATGCAAGTGGGAAAACAAGATTTTTCCACATAAAGGTTAATTAGCTGTCATCCAATGACTTAAAACTAGAGGTGGGAAAGTTGGCGGCCCGGCCCGGCCCGCGCTGTCCCATCCCGTTAAAAAATGAGCTAGTCCGTCTCGTTCTGTTTTTGAAAGTGGACTGAAAAACTCAGCCTGTCTCGTTCCGTTTAGCGGGCGGGTTGGCCCTTTTATTTCGAGTCTATTTTACATTGACCCGTCTATGCCTGTTAAAAAATGAGCTCGCCTCGCCCTGTCCTGCTTTTGAGAAGGGTGAAAAAACTCAGTCCATCTTACTCCGTTTAGCGGGTTGACCCGCCGAGCGAGCCCATTTTTCCGTCTCAATTTAAAACTAACATATATTCAATGACACTATTGTGAATAAGTACGTAATGGATGGTGTCATGTGGATGGTGGTGTTGTAAATATTTCGTGTGAATGGGGTTTTAACGTGTCATGGAATTATTGGAAGGTTCTGAATTAGACCATCGAGAAGGACAAAACTAAAACGGGATTGCCCCTGGCCGCCACCTTTGTTTGTTTTATGAGGAAGTTGGTGGGAAAGATAAGAGTCAGACCAAAAAAAAAAGAAAAAATGAAATTAATGGCAGGGAATCTATTTCATTCCATTGTTTGAAATTAGTTTTGTTGTTTTCCGATGAATTGGAAGATGGTGAATTGAGTTGTATAAATTCTTTCAATTGAATCAATGTTAATTTTCTTATAATAATTTTGAACGATAAAAAAAATAGCAAAAAGATAATAGTGTAATTATATGAAAAAAAAAACTTCAAAAGAAATTTTAATTTGGATACTTCTATTCGATTGGGAGACAAACTTATTGAACTGTTGGTGCTTGGTAGAGCCACTAATGTATCTTTTGGAGGATAATGTATGTCAATTTAAGGTTGCTCACAACAATCATGGTATGGATCAATGTTCCGTTGAAGCTTCCTATGTGTGTTGTATACAAAGAGAGAGGTGTGTGTAAATGGCTATAGTGATTCTACCTTTGTGGAGAGTAACATTTCATAAGATAAGTAGATGAGAAGATATTCCTTCGGCAAAGGAAAAAGGGTATTTAGAGAAGAGATGTCCCTCTAAAATGTGAGAGAGAGAAATCATAGAGTTGTACCATCTAGCCAACGTAGTCTCTTTGACTAGGCTTGTTGAATTCACTGAGTCTCTTTGACTAGGCTTGTTGAATTCACTAATTGTCATTATATAAGGGCAGCAGTGCAGAAAAAAAAGAGGGAGTCGTGATGAGGTTCCATGACTCATCATAAAATGTCTCTAGAAGATTCTAGATGTGAGTATTTGATATTGAATCCAATGGACTCGGCACAAAAGGGCTTGCCATAACACCTATTATAAGTCAAACTCAATTTAAAGTAAAACACAATAATTTATTCCAAGCTACCTCTAGATTCAGGTGTCCCAATTTACACAAATAAATTGTCTCTATTATCGAACCCCTAACAAGTACAAAACACAATGTTAGCTTAACTCTAATCCAGAAAGAGAACAATAATGGTTACCTCACTGACTTCTATAAAATAAGCATAAAGTAAAGAGATACCCTACGAGAGATTAACTGCCTTTGATTCTATATTTTTCTTTTCTTCAAAGTTTTATTCCATTGTCAAATTGTATATCATTGGCCCTTTCTATCAATATCTAAGCTAGCTAAAATAATATTCTTTCAATTTAATTTTATCTTCTCTAACTTAATACAAAGATTCGAAAAATATTTTTCTCAACAAAAAGGATTTGATTAAAAAATAATTTTCTAAATAAAAAATAATTTGATTTAAATTTTTTCTAATTAAGATACATAATCAAAATTGTTTCAATTGCTTTCTAATATTAGTGTTTTCCGGTCAATCCCTAAATATTTTGACAATCGGAGACAGGAAGAAGGAATCAAAATTTCTCTTAAATAGAATTTATAATATCTTCATTAAATTCTATTTTTTTTAGACTTAATTCTACAAATAATTCACATATTAAATCTTACCACAATTATTTTATTTATTTGTTATCATTAAAAACTAAATAAAATGTGAGACACACTAAATTTCATTTAAGCCTTAGCAACCAATCCTAGTTTTCTGTCTTTGTTTCGCAGTGTCTTTCTCTCGTGCACAAAACGACAATTGTGCATGAATATAGTAATTAAAATCTCGATTTAAATTTGTAATTTTATGATTTTTTAATTTTTTTTAATCAAAATAATTTTATCAAAATTTCAAACTCTTTTTCATTTTTTACAATTTTTTATGTTAAATTTTAACTTTTATAATTTTTAATTCTTCCTCCGATCTTAGATAAAATTTCAATTTTAAGTATCACTGCACCACAAGCATTCAAAACCATTAGATTCAGTATTACTTGTCAAATTTCAATGCCGTCTTGGGAGCTGACTAACAAGTAATAGTAACACACGTTTGTTTTTATTTTTTTAATAATGTAAAAGTGGTATGGTAAAACAAGTCACTTCAAAATGACCTGCGTAGACTGTTGTTTGCTTAACGAGAATAAATGGTTATCTTTTTCGTTATATTGAATTTTGAAATTTCAACTTAAGGCATCATTATACCCACTTGTGTAGTATTATTATATTTGCAGATGTTGTCAGGCACCTAATCATAATTTGGAGCAGGATCCGTACTAGACTGAGAAAAGGAACTATTTTTTAAGAGATTTATTAATCTCATGTTATATGAATGAGATAATTATCTTATGCAACAGAAATAAATTTGTGGAATTCACTACTTTTTTTTAAAAAAAATAGTAGATCCCACTATTTTATCTTTGTTGCAATGAGATAATTATCTCATGCAACATGAGATAATTATTTCTCATTTTTTAACGTATGAAATGGAAGAGCTTTTGTGGGGCTAACTACTATAGGCCATTACAAAAGAGCGAGGGTTTGATTTTTTTATATTGCATAAGAATTGAATTCTGATTCAATTAGTGATAGGTCCCATATTTATTAAAAAAAAAAAAACTTTATACGTAAATCGAAAAATATTTTTCTTACATTAATATGCCACTGGACTGGACAACTTAACCCGCGTTTAGATGGATTTATGAAAAAGAATGTTTTTTATGTCTTATTTATTTTGAAAATATTTTTTTATCAAAATTAAAATTAATTAGATTTAAAAAGAAAATTAAAAAAATCTATCCAAACAGGCCACAAACCCACAAGTCTCCAGTCTCAAGTTATTTGGGTCAACACTTCAATAGCATTTCGTGAAATTATTCTCTTTATTTACACATCTTATTTTGGGTTTGATGTTTAATGTCGTAGAAAATAAAATTATTTTTTATATATATAAAAATATGTAGGCATATATCAGGCCATGTGAAAATAAGATTAAAAAAAAAATGAACCCTATATATTTTGGGGATTATATTTTCTTATGTAACGGGAGATGTTTATCTCATGTTACATTCACAATTTTATATGGATTCCATTGCATGGGAAAAGAGGGAAAAAAATTAAAGTGAGACTCATATCTTTTTGAGTGTGTAGGAGAGAATTGTTATTTCATGTAACATGAGATTGATATTTCCCTATATTTTTATATTTTTATATGTGTATGTCGAAAATAATTTTATTTCTTAAAACATTAGAGATATTAAACCTTTTTTTTTTATAATTTTGCACGAACCCATTTGCTTCGATCTAAGCAACTCCTTATACATATATCTCAAAGTTGGCTTTCTCATTATCAAAACAATGATAAAAGGTTAAACATGATCGTTGTGAAAAATATTGTTGAAAAGAGGTAGTGAAGGATTTTTTTTCTCTTCTCTTTGTAATTTGTGAACTTTGATCATTGAAAACCGGAGGATTAGTTTTTCTTAATTAGAATTAGAAAATATATATATATATATATATATATATATATTCTATGGTAATATTTTTTGCTATTTTTGGAATTGTTAATAATTCTTGTGAAAACTTCAAAAATTTCCCTATAAGCTTTTTCATAATCACATATTTGATTTCCGAAATTTTAAATTATTTATTACCTAACTTAAAGTTTTTTTTTTGTCATTTACCTTCTTAAAGTGATAAATAAACTTTAAATTAATGGAATAAATGATAGAAAAACGTTAAGCAAGGATATAAATGGTTCAAAATTTTGAAAAGAATAATAAGTGGTTTTAGAGAAAATTAACAGTAAATTTTTATTTTATTTTTTGAATTTTTTCCTTTTGCATAGAAACTGCGTGTTCTACATTTGGAAGGGGTCAAACCTGCTAAGACTGGCACGCATCCTGCACCTATGAGCCCTGCAACTCTTATCACAAGATCAGTGTGCAAAATCATTGTTAAGAGAAAACTACTGTGTGCATGACAAGCATAAGGACTCTGCCTGACAAAGTGGCAAGGACACTAAGCCTAGTCAAATCACAATTTCCCAACAATATGTCTCTTGCTGTTTATTTATTTTGGCCTTTAAACATCATTGGAGACCTTTGTCTTCATAGTACTGGGTTCCTATTTGAGTTGCTTTACACAAAATAAAACACATTACAGAAGAAGTAAAAGGGGAAGAAACATTCTGTACTGATATTCAAGCCACAAGCACTGCCTGAAATGTCAACAAGTGAATACGAGTTATTTGAGGTCCACCATCTTGCCATTCACCCTTCTAAACTTTTTGTTTAATTTATTTCACTTCTCACTAAATTTATTTACATTTTGTCTGAGATGTATATATTCACACTTGGCTTGCGCAGACGTTTGTTCTCAAAGTACACATGAACTGTCAAGGGTGCATAAAAAAAGTAAGGAAAGTACTCCGAAAAATTGAAGGTAAAGTTTAAATATTTACTCTATTTTTCAATTTCTATATTCATCTCTTAAGTACCATTTTGTATAAGCTTTCCTGGTCATATACTGAGCATACAATAGAAAGTTGGAAGAAAAATAAGAATTAAAACAAAATATTATATATAAGAAATTAAAAATATAATGAAGACAAAGGATGGGTAAGTAATGAAAATCGAGTCCTAACAAGCCATTGGCACATTAAGTTGGGAGATTTTATTTATTTATTTTGAAATAGATATAACAACTATGTTAAGATAAACACATTATGCAGTAAGGAACCACTCGCAGACTGTTTTTAGTTGGTTTGTGGCTAGTAAGCTTTTCCATGTTGGAGTTAAGTAACACTCATTGGATATTTTGAACTAGGAAACTAAAGAAACAGTTCAGCGTTTTCCTTGAAACAATTCTTTGTTTGATTCTGATTTCCTTGTCAGTGAATTAGTTGGAAAGTCAAGCCAAACCTGGTTTTCAAGGCTTAAATTCAGGTATATGCATGAATCAACAATTTTTCCCCATGATCAATGCCCCACAACGACATTAGCCCAAAAAAGTTAAAACCCTATATCAGAGGTTACTTGGGCAGAAAAAGACATAAAAGGAAAAGGAGAGGAGTGTGATACAATAAATGGTCGGCTAGTGAGAATGGTGTAGTGCAAACAGCAAAATAGAAGAAAATATAAATCTAACACCTTTTCAATTCTATTTTCCTTTGTAGTTCCAACTTCCAAATGTATAGATAGAAGATTAAGTTATTAGCTATTTTCCATTGTTTATATCCAAAATTGAATTTACATTGATATCCTTCTTTAACATGCTTTCGAGTTTGGATCAGGTGTCTACAAAGTAGACATTAATTCAGAAGAGCAGAAGGTAATTGTCACAGGCATTGTCAATCCTTCCACTTTGGTCCAGAAATTGGCCAAAGTTGGTAAACATGCAGAGATATGGAATGCAGGTTACAACCAAGAACAAGAACAAGCCAACCATGAAGCTCAATATATAATGAATGACCCCAGTATCTCTGAAAATCAGTATATGATTCCCACCTTCTTTGGCAAAAATCACTGGGGACCTGAATGGTGTTTTAATCAGGATATGGATGCCAGAGCCATGAAAAGCCAGATCAACAAACATTTAGCAGCACCATCGTTTTTGAAAAATTTTAACAATGGAACCGATCAAAATTTTACCACATTCAATGAAAATCCAGAATGGGAGGAGAGCATGATGAGGCCTGCAAGTTTTCAACAGAATAGTGGAACTAATTACTCTGGCTTAGGGAGTCAAGAATGGGCACGGGGAGCATCACCGATTAGTGAATACGATCATCAACCATCTCTGATGGCCAACATACATGGATATTACCATGACTATCATCCTTCAAAGATGACGCAGCTGTACTCCTACAATCATCTACCATGGGGAATTAACATCCACATGCAGGAGACACCAACTTGGAATGAAATGATGATGAATGCATACATGCATCAGCACATGACAAATCAAATGTATCTCTCATTGCCTTTTAACTTTGACTCTTGCTAGGATATAGAAATTGCCTAATGACCAACTTTTCCTATAAAGCACATTCTACTGTGTCAGCTGTATCAAATTACATGAAAGCATATCAAATCAATTTTAAGTACTATACACTATTATAGAGTCAGACTAAATATATCATTTTTAGGCCTTCATATCTAAACTCTATGCTATTCTGCTCCTGATACAAAATTTTCAAATATTATCATTTTACTAAAAAAAATAAAATAAAACCAGAGAATATTAGCACAAAAAAAAGCTTTCATATTATAAAGATGAAATTCAAACTTCAAACTCGGTAAATATACAGTCCAAACTCTATCCGGAGTAAATTTTCCCCTAATGTACAACATATAGCACAATTAGCGATTCAATGTCATGTGTCCATATCAATGCAAGGGTATTTGTAGAATACATTTCTTTTATTTTCTCAACTTCAACAAAAAGATATATAAATATAAAATTGGGATATATCGGTAGATATGAAATGGACGAGAATGGAAAAAAAGAAATTAATAATAAATTCAGACTAGTTATTCCTTATTTTAACATTTAGCAAAAACCTGTCATCCTGGTAAATAGTAGAGTTGCCTTTTAGTAACACTCCAATAAATAGGTGATAAATGAAGCAACTTTCCTTCTTAATTTCTTGTAATTTCCGTAACACCCTTTCAAAAAAAATTTACTAATATACAGGCACATACATGTTCAAATCATATCACCAATTTAGCTGTATATTTCAGCTTTAAATTTTACTTGTGGGCTGCGAATATCATCCTGGCTTTGAATTAATCTGATTTCTAAACTGGTTGACTGGGGATCATGTCCAGCGCTTGTATAGTCACGGAGTGTCCTTTGCAAAAGTGCCTGCACATATTGATGATACTTGCACCATCAGTTATCAATTATTCAAAGATTGTGGATTCATTCAACATGAATACCGAAGTTTAAAAGTCTCGAAATTAATGTCCTTACAATACAAGAAGGCGGTAATAAATCAGTCAAATATGTCAAATGATGGAAAGCTTTCTATAACGCCAACAGTACTTGCACAATATCAGAGAAGAGGAAGAAAAGAATAATATTAATATCACACATCAAGAAAATAAGTACCTGCAAGCTTGACACTGCGAGTTCTGCAGCCATCTCAAGGTTATCTGGGTATTTCTGGAATGAATAAAGACAAATATGTGGTTACTATTACGAAATTACTAGCAAGACCCTATAACTATAGCCAAACACTTTAAGCAAAGGCATTACATTACTCCAACCAAGAAGAAGTGCAGTCATGAGATCTCCCGTTCCCTACGAGCATAAGAACATAAAAACATGAGGTTCTAGTTATTGAATGTTTGAAGGCATTAGAGAACTTTATTGAATAAATTGAATTTAAAAGTCGATTTGGTTATTTGAAAAAACAAAATTGAATAAAATTTCGTTCCTATTTATTCTTTGGTGAACAAGCATGGTGTTTTTATGGTGAAGATGAACCGAAGACCATCCCATTCCTCTCTATTTTTTCCAAGAAGCATATAGCTACTGCAATGAAGATGCGGTGTTTTAAAGTGAAAACATTGCAATCTTTGTATTTTGTGCAATGCAAAGAAGAAAAAGGTGTTTATTGGGGCTATACATGCGAATGAACAGGAGTCTATGCAGCTCGGGCCTATTTTGGGAAATAGGAAGATATGTCTTTGATAATCCATATATTACAAATGTAAAATCATTGAATAGTTCAAGCTGAACTCATCCACGTTTGGCTCCAAATAAACTTTTGACGTTGACTACTTTTTTTTTAACGCTGTAAAAATTGATCTTCGTAAAACCATAAATCAACAGAAGTATTAATGGAATACTCATACCGTAAAATAAGCTGGAATTTTCGGAATCACGATCTTAAATTGTTTGGGAGGCTGTCCCTATCACACAAAGAAAATACAAGTTCAGGTTGTTACCATGAAGAGGACATAGTGTACAGAATAAAACCACTAAGTATACAGAATTAAAAATGTGGATGAAGAGCGTAGGAAAGAAGACCAAAGCAGTGCTTCAATGTTAGTTATTCGACTGTGGTTGAAATATATATAAAAGAAGACCAATACTTAGCTTCTGTAGTCATGAGGTGCTAACTTAACCAGAAAACTAACTAGTTCACCAGTTTTTTGGTTGAAATGCGTAGTTCGGTCTGTGATTTGGACCGGCCATCACAGACCAATGCATATGAGCCAGCCTGTGAAGGCCTTAAGGGTTTACACCCCTACCCTCTCATAGTGAGCACATGAACCTCACCTCAGAGAATCCCTCACTCCCTACATAGTCGACCCATTGTGCACTCCCACAATTGAGGTGCAATTCCTCGCACTCGGCAATGAGGTATTGGGCAAACGATTAGGCTTATTAATTTTCTCTCATATCGTTAGGGAATATCTCCCACCTATAAATATTACTCTTCTCCACCTAAAGAGGCATCTTGTATCCATTACTTTCACGAGTTGTTACTCTGCAGAAATATAAAGCAACTGTGCCCTTACACCTTCCCCCTCCCTCCGTCATACTCTAGATAACACTCATGGTAACTCTTCCAAAGCTGTGGTTCATATCATTGCCTCTTGAGCACCGACATAGCAAGATACTACACCCTTTGAGGGACACAGACCTAACTCTAACTCCACAACAACTCAGTCTGGCTTTCAGAAAATTATAGAATTGTGAAAAAAAAAAAACATTTTACAAATCACTGTCAAGACACAATATGTAGGCATACATATTATGTGAATTGACAACGAAAATTTGGTAAACTTGATCTCCATTACTACTCATATATCTGAAATTAGAAATAAATTACAACTTACGATAGCATTATAAGTAACATTCAATTCACCTGTTCCTTTTGATGACTGCCAATAACGAGAAGAATCCCATCTATATTTATACTTGTAATTACAACCTGAAGGAGCATATACATCAGCTAAATGACTGAGAGTAATAGAACCTAAATTACACTTTGGACAATAAGTAATCATCATAGAAAAGGTCAATGTGAATGGTTACATACCTACATTAGGTGTAGACAATTTCTTGGCGTTAAAAAAAGGAAGGAACACTATGAAAAGAATACTTAAATACACAGATTCAAGCATCGCATTCACATGTGTAATTTAGATTCAAGCTGCTCTTTTTGTGTGTGTGAGTGGCTTGTAGGTTGTCTGTGCACTAGAAATGTACTACTTTAGGACATTCTTATTTCTTATATCCAATCTCTCTATGATGTTGTATGAAGTTAAAATCCACAATTTGCATGGGCGAAGAATCTGGCAGAAATTTATTATTTGAATAAACAAATAGATACAGGAACTGACTGGCCGTACTGATAGCGAAAGAAATATCTGGCCTAGTCACAGTAAGATAATTGAGCTTCCCAATTAGCCTCCGATAACGTCCAGGATCAGATAACGGCTCCCCCTGTCCGGGTAATAACTTGACATTAGGATCCATAGGTGTATCAACTGGTTTACTCCCCAACATACCAGTTTCTTCTAGGATATCCAAGGCATATTTCCTTTGACAGATAGAAATGCCTTGTCTTGATTGCGCCACCTCAATTCCCAAGAAGTAACGCAGCTTCCCAAGGTCCTTTGTTTGAAATGTACTAAACAAATGCTGTTTTAACTGACGAATTCCGTCTTGATCACTTCCGGTGAGAATGATGTCGTCAACATAGACTAACAAATAGATACACTTATCAGGAGATGTAATCCTATAAAACACAGAATGGTCAACTTTACTGCGGATTAAGCCAAACGCCAGAACAGCAGAACTGAAACGACTGAACCATGCTCGAGGAGACTGCTTAAGACCATATAAGGATTTCCGAAGACGACACACCTTTCCAGACTCCCCCTGAGCAACAAAACCAGGTGGTTGCTCCATGTAAACTTCTTCTTGTAAATCACCATGAAGAAAGGCATTTTTGATGTCAAGTTGAAGGAGTGGCTAGTGACGAACAGCAGCAAGGGCAAGAAAGAGGCGGACTGACGCCATCTTAGCGACCGGAGAAAATGTATCGCTATAATCAAGGCCAAAGATTTGAGTAAAACCCTTGGCAACTAAACGTGCCTTGAGACGATCAATATGGCCATCAGGTCCAACTTTCACAGTAAAAACCCAGCGACAACCAACTATAGACTTCTCTGGAGGAGCAGAAACAAGGTCCCAAGTGCCATTGGAATGAAGTACAGTCATCTCATCAAGCATTGCTTGACGCCACCCTGGATGGGAAAGTGCTTCACCTGTGGTCTTAGGAATAGAAATAGAAGAAAGACTAGAAACAAAGGTGAAATGAGGTGAAGAAAGACGGTCATAACTCAAAAAGGTATAAAGAGGATAAGGGTTACGAGTAGTACGTGTACCTTTTCTTTGAGCAATGGGAAGAGTCTCTGATGAAGGATCCGGAGGGGAAGAAGCAACAGCAGTGGGCGATGAGTCAGCAAGAGTCGAGTCGACAGGAGGCACAGTTTTGCGACGCTGATAGGTGAGAAGTGGACGGTCCTCAGGTATAGAAGCAATAGGTTGCTCATCTGGAATAGAAGCACCTGCAACTGGCAAAGACAAGTCAAGAAAAGGGACAGGAAGGACATGATCAACCTGTGACATCTGAGATGGGATAGAATTAAAGGGTTGTTGATCAAGAAAAGTGACATCAGCGGAAACTAAGTAACGCTTAAGGTCGGGAGAATAACAACGATAACCCTTTTGAAGACGAGAATAACCAAGAAAGATACACTGAAAGGCTTTGGATGTTAACTTATCCTTACCAGGAGTGAGATCATGAACAAAACAAGTACAACCAAAGACATGTGGAGTTAGAGGATAAAGAGGAACATCTGGAAGCAATAGATTATGAGGAATGTCATTGTGGAGCACAGATGAAGGCATGCGATTGATGAGAAAACAAGAGATGAGTACAGCATCTGCCCAGAAGTGAAGGGGAACCTGCATATGAATAAGAAGGGTACGGGCAGTTTCAATGAGATGTCTGTTTTTACGTTCAGCCACCCCATTTTGTTGTGGAGTGTGAGGACAAGTAGTTTGATGTAAAGTACCTTGTGTGGCCAAGAAATTAGAAAAATCAATAGAAACATATTCCTTAGCATTATCACTACGTAGAATACGAATAGAAACACCAAATTGAGTATGGATCTCAGTAGAAAACTTTTTATAAATGGAGAATAGCTCGGAACGATTTTTCATTAAATAGGTCCAAGTGCAACGGGAAAAATCATCAATAAAGGTAACGAAATACCGAAAACCTAAGACAGACAAGGTACGACTTGGACCCTAAATATCTGAATGAACAAGAGAGAAAGGAGCATCAGCTCGTTTATTGACTCGACTGGCAAAAGAGGAGCGTGTATGCTTCCCTTGTTGACATGACACACAATCTAAAGACTGAAGACCGGACAAAAGAGGAACCATTTTCTGCAACTTTGAAAGACTTGGATGACCAAGGCGACTGTGGATAAGTTGTGGAGATTCTGTGAGAGAGCATGCTACTGAAGGACGAGGCACATCCAGATAATAAAGCCCTCGTGACTCACGACCCACTCCAATCATTTTCCCCGTACCCGGATCCTGCACAGAAACAGAATGGTTAGAGAAAGTAATGGTGCAAGTGAGGGAGTGCATCAACTTACTAATAGAAATTAAGTTATAAGGGATGCCAGGAATGTAATAGACAGATGTCAGGGCCAAGGTAGAGGTCGGACGAGCTTGTCCAATCCCACGAACGGGGGCTTTGGTTCCATCCGCAAGGGTAAAAGACGGTAAATGATCAGAATAAGTAAGAGATGTAAAGAGTTCCTTATTACCACAGAGATGATCGGTAGCACCGGAGTCAAATATCCAAGTGCCAAGTGATGTAGAATGAGAAACACAAGCAACAGGATTACCAGTATAAGGCTGAGACTGAGGAGAAGCCTTCCTGAGAGGGGTTTGAAGTGCAGCATAGTCTGAACCTGAACCAAATGATGCATTGTCTGACTGAGCTATATTTGCAACAATAGAAGGAGAGTTAACCTCCGAGAGATCAGGAGATGCTGCTGCCATTTAAAGATAAAATATAAAAGCCGTAAACGAAGGCAAACGATATCCAATCAAGAAGAACCACGCGTCTAAGGTCAGACCCACAGAGAAACAATCACAGATCCAGAAAGGGGAGGAGAAGGCGAGCTTCTCTGTCCAAGACCGGCCGGAAAAAGCCGCCGGAATAGTGCTCACGCGCCGGTAGAAGGTGGCGCGTGAAGCCCACGCGCAGAGAAGACAGGTGGCGCGTGACGGCGCGTGGGAAATGCGTTGCTGACCGGACCACCACAGACCTGGTCGCCGGGAAGAGAGGGTCCTGATCGCGTGAAGTTTGGTCGGAAAAGTCGCCGGAAAAAGTCTCCGGTTGCCTGAACAGTGATTCTGACGGCGGGCGGTGGTTCCGGTGGCCGTCGGAGGTGCTGACACGTTTGGAAAAATCACTCAGAGGCTGTTTACAGCCCTAGAAGGCTTGCCGGAAGGACGCACGGCAAGAAAGAGGACTCCTAAGCAGTGGGCTTAGGTTTTAAAGCAAAAAACAAGGTTTCTAAGCGGAAGCGAGGGTTCCCAGAACGAAAGAGCTCTGATACCAACTTGAATATAAAATAATAGAAGAATAATATGTTGTGTATTGATCTGTGTCAAGGAGTTACAATATATAGAGACCCTAATGGGCTTAAGTGTAAGGCCCAAACCTAATCCAAACTTAATCCTAATACAGTCAGAATACAGTCAGACTATTTACGGATAAGACAGAATCCAATCATATCTAATCAAATCTAATCATATCATATCTAATATTCTAACAGATACTAAAGGGGAAAAAACAAAAACAAAATAAAATAAGAGATCTAATTAATAGTTCACAAAAAAGAAAAGAGATATGTTAATGAAATATAATATAAAAATCATTAATGTAATCTCACCTAACAACTTAAGCTTTTAGATTGAAATGGTTCTTTACAAGATATCAGAGCCTTCGTGACCAAGTAATCACATGTTCTATCCTCACTGCCCTTATTCTATTAATAAATAACTAAATATTGTGGAGTTTCTTAGCATAGGTAGAAGGGCCTGTGCATTGTCCACCCTTCAAACCCAATGGATTCTTATGCGAGGGAGCATGTTAGAGAAATATAATATAAAAACCATTAATATAACTTCACCTAATAACTTAAGCTTTTGAGTTAAAATGATTTTTTACAAGATAAAATGATTAAAATTATAATGATAATTAAAAAAAAAACTACAATTTTGAGTTTAAAAAATGGTTAGAGTCTGCAATCCAGAAAGCTGAGAAGTATTTATATGCAATGTATTACCATTAAGTGAGAATAAATATGGTGGAAGACAGGCTAGAGTGATTTGGTTCGATCTATCTAAAGGGCTATATGACAATTAAGAACGAAATTTGCATAACTGCTGCACTACTGAATATTTCAGTTGTCAAGAAAAGAGTAAACACTTATTTTGGTCCTCCAAAGATATACGTAAGATCAAATTGGCTCCCATTTACTAGCAACATCAAATTGGTCCTTTAATGACGATTAATGCCACTGGTTTTCTTTCAACTTCAAGGACCAACTTTATATCCTTTTATGGGCAATTTGATGGCAAAAGTGTGACATCAAAGGACCAATTTGATGTTGCATATATCTTTTTGGAGGACCAATTTTTATAAATGGAGAACCAATGTGACATCACATATATCTTTTGAGGGCCAATTTGGATATTTACTATCAAGAATTTAATGGCAGTTCCGATTATTCTTTTTGTCTGCATACCAAATATCCCGGCTCTCCACAGAATAACATCGGCCCACATTCAAATCATTAAAGTGCATTTTCGAGAGTATCCAATTAGTGAATCTTTTCTTTACTACTGGAGTCAAAACTCATGAGCACATGATTTAAACCTTAATTGAATAATCAATTTGCATAACAAGGAAAAGTATGAAACGTTTGCACCTAATTGGTCATAATAGATGCCATGGACAACATTAAATTTAAAACAATAATAGAGATAAAGAGTTTCCAGATACAGAGATCAGAAAGGAAAGTCAGAACCAGTACAAGCCTATGTGCAAAGGAGAAAGTTTAGAATTCAAGGATTCAAAAAAAAAAAAAAAAAGAAGAAAGAAAGAAAAAGAGAAGCAAGTTTTTCAACATACAAAAATAAAAGCTAACCTTTGAAGGCCCAACTGCATGGAGAAACTTACAAGCTTCCCGACCATCTCCTTCAGACTGAATCCTGTAATAAGTATGAAATAGGATTATTTAGAAGGTAAAACGAACATATTGTGGATATGCACAAACAGAATAAATATGAAGAAATCTGGTATTGCCAGTGGTGATAACTGATAAAAGAAAAAAAATTAAATAAAATTACAGAACTCGGTAAAATCTTTACCTGTTGAAAATACACTCTCAATTACTCATTATCTTCTAAGAAAAAGGACAATTTGTGGGTGTGAGTTGGCTCTAAACCCAGTTAGTTCCATGAATGACAAATCACAAATATACCACCAACAAATTGTTGGGGAATCCAAGTTTTAGTGAGTAAAGTCTCACATTGGTTAAGAATGGACTGAGGGAGCACCATATAAATGGAATGACCCATGCACCTAATGCCTTAAGGTTTTTGGTTGATTGCGGTGTCTAAGCCCACTTAATGTCGCTGCTCACTTTGGATGGCGGTTTCTCCCCGCCATGAGCTCCCCTCGCTGGTCCAACAAGTGGTATGAGAGCCAATGATGGATTGGCCTGTAGTGATCCGAGTATTTGAAGATGTGAGATGTTAAGGTCTTAATGAGTGTAACCAAGTCTTGATGGAAGAGCCAATGTCTTGATGAGAAGCCAAGCATTGATGAACCCCATGAATACTCAAAGAAACTTCTGTTTGAGGAGAGCTAATGTGTGTTGAGACTCACTCTTGAGGGGGAGATGTTGGGGAATCTAAATGTGAATGACTGAAGTCCACACTAGTTAAGAATAGACTGAGTAAGCACTATGTAAGTAAAAGGACTCATGCACCTAACGCCCTAAGGTTTTGGATTGATTGTGGTGTCTAAGTCCACTTAATATCGTTGTTCACTTAGCCCATGAATAATGGTCTCTCCCCGCCATAAGCTCCCTCTAGCGGCCCGCACAAATGCCTAAATGCCTTAGTGCACGGAGCAGTGCACATAGGACATCCCGAAGCACTACCAAGATTCTTTCCCTCAATGTGGGTGTCCTCACACATGCAAAACAAAGATATATACCTCTGGGTATGAGAAGGAACCATAGATATTAATGAGACCTACTCCCCTCTCCCTCCAAAATTATAAATAAAACTAAAGGAAGAAAGTTGCAGCTCAAAATGAATCCTTATTTAGAGACTAATACAATACCAACATCAACAACACTTTTATTCAAAACTAGTTGGCGTGTGGCAAATGAACCCAAATAAAAAATATGAAAAGATTAAAGAAAAAAATGATAAAAATATAATATATATATATATATATATATATATATATATATATATAACACTAGACAATAAAAAAATAGCAATAAAAAATAAAAAATAAAAAGAAAAAAATATAAAGATACAGAAGAGGAAAAAAGAAAAGGAATTTTTTTAAAAAAAAACAGAGAGATAAAATAAAGAAAAAAGAAGAAAATACATAAATAAATAAATAAAAGAAAAAACAATTGAGAGGAAAAATTGAGATACAAAAGAAAAGAAGGAAAGAAAGAAAGAAAGAAAAAAAGGAGAGGTGAAGAAAGAAATAAGGGAAAAGGATTAAAAAGTGACTAATACAAGCAAATCAAAATTGTTGATGTCATACAACAGAACATGGACACCAAATAATTTCATTTTTTGAGGTACATTCATAACTTAATCTTAACAAAGTTAATCTTTTACAACCAAAATTTAGTCAAGGGCTTTTTTTACTGAACAGAAAATGCAAAAGAAATTAATATGCTACCATGTATACAGTGCAGCAAAAAAATCAAATATAAGGAACCTATAAAACAGAAATTTTTAGCAATCTAAATGGTTTTACAATTACCTGAATCCTGTCAGTAGTTCTGCTTCAAACTGGTTGGGAGTTAACATGGAAGCTACTGGAACAACCTGCCAAAATGTGTGTTACTCAGATGCTAACACTAGGAAAGTACTTCTCAACTTAAAAATGGGTTACATCAAACGGAAGTATCATTATGTCATCTCATAAAAAATAGGAACCCGTTAACTGTGCATTAAAATATAATTTTCAATTACTGGTGACTTAAACTTGAGGTATACAATGGTTCAGCCAAATAAGTCTATATACCTCAAACTTGTTACATTGTATATAACCATATATTATTTGTACTTGCAGTTGCACACCACAACATCTTTTTAGAACAGTGTTACCTTTTCACGGTAGACTGATACCAGCTCTTGAGGAACATAAAGCTTTCCATCATCACCCATCACTGGATCACATACTGACAAGAAAGCACAATTTTTCTTAAAAAAAAAAGAAAAACATTGAGTGCCAAAAAGACAAAAAAAATTATAGTCATATTTCCCAGGCTTCAACTGTCAACACTAAACGAAAATCACAACAAAACAGTATAGGCCCTCTGGGGCAAAAACTATAGTTGAGACCTACAGAGAAAAAAGCAAAATCCCTATCAGCTACAACAGTATGTAAACTCACTTCTTTTTTTCTCTCCCTTTATGTCTAAAGACATAAATTACGTCTTCCATTGTATCCTTTTAGTAATATCTAAATATTCATAAAAGCTAGACCAGTATAAGATGGTCTGATATTAAACTGAACCTGAAAATGTAAAAGGATAAAACCAAACATTGTATAAGGCCAGATAGGATAGCTTATCCTATCCTGTGCAATTTTATCCAGTGTGTCAAACAAATCCCAAGTATTTTCAATAGTCTCACCATATGTAAGCTCAGGGTTTTTTGAGCGAAGCTTGCTGATGACTTCCAATACAGTGTTTAGAAAAGAAACTGAACCAATATAACCTGAAAATACATAAAGTAGAACCAAAGGAAGCAATGAAAATAGGTAACAAACTGGCATGAAAGTAGTGACAAACTGAGAATATTACAGTAGTACACATTACACAGAAATATAGCATACATAGCATAATTGTCAGAGATTTTTTTAACACTAAAGCAAATCTTTCAGGATGGCTCAACAATAATACATAATAATGATTTTGAAAGAAAGAGACTTCAGTCTGTCACAAAAAAGAAGAAGAAAGAAATTAACTTTTTTAGAACACTCATCTAAGAATTCTAATATCCAAAATAACATGACAATCAAGGGACTCTCAAAGAACCATTTCATTTATTTTCAGTAAAGGCAATTGAAGCATTTTATTAAGAGCTACCAAATTTTTTCAAAAAACACATCCTCTAAAGAAAGACAGATTGCCACCTACCATGGCAAAACTTGAGTAAGCTACCTCCTTTACCTATTTAATATACAGTTCATGAGGGAAGCACCATTCAGTTCATGATTAAAAATACAGAGAGGGCAATATTTAAAATACCTGTTAACAAGTGAGTATAGTATAATAAATCATTTCCTTCAAGGCCTTCTATTAGATCCCAGAGTTGCTGTCCATCCAAAACCTGACCCTTAAACGTCGGGTATCCTGCATTATAATCCTCAAATCTATTAAACTACAACTTTCAGTGTTACTTTAACAAGGATAACATACCATGCCTGAACTTATTGAGATTAACAGATGAAGTCACACCATATATCAGGTCTGAGAGTCATGAGAGAATGAAGAAATAGAAGCAGCTTGCCTGTATGATTTGAAAACTGCACAGAATTAATTGGATCCACATCATAGCCTAGTAGTTGCAATGGGAAGACAGCTGATTTATTACCAACATACCCCTGAGAATAACAACAAACACCCACAATGTCAAAGGTAATTACTTAACCAGGTGCATGCAACTGACAATGACATTCAGTATTATTAGTAACATTCAGCCCAGCGGTTCAGGATTATAAGAACACCTCAACACCTTGATCTTACTATTGGTAACACTTTTTTTTTAAAAAAAAAAAAACCAAGGTATCAGGTATTGCTACCTGGTGTAATGATTAGGTAAAACCCTCTCAAAGGACGAATCATTAATTCAAACCCTGACTTTGCACGTAAAAATCTTAAATGCGTTTAAATTCTCACCTTTGAAATTCACTCGGGTTCACTATTCACTTTAACATCGGACTATGGTAACATCTTAAGAGGAAGGATGTATTTACATATATTTTTTACAAATTTTTACAAATTACACTACGTACGCAATGTAATCTAGTGTATTTCTAATAGTATATAGTGTAATTTGTAAGAGTTTGTAAATATAACTCTCCTCACCTCTTAATTGGGGAGGTCTTATCATGACTAACGGTCCCTCTTTTATTGATGCAAAAATAATTTGCGATCAAGTATAACTATAACTATGTAATTCGGGAAATAGCACTTATAATATGAAAATTATTTTTTTCTTTCTTTCCGGTTAAGAAAAAAAAAAAAAACTTTAATTTTAATATTACGACTATATACTCCACTTTGTTAGAACAAGATTTTTTGCATCACCATAAGAAGTAGATTTCCTATTATTAAATAAGCAAACATGAGTAAAAGCAGAAATGAAAATTCAATAAGACAAAAATAAAAAATAAAAAAAGAGAAACCTGGACGGTATGAGATTGAATACTGAGAACTCGACCGGTCTCAGAGGGAAGAGCAAGGGAAAGTATTGGAGGCGCCATGTATGAACTCCTCGAATTTCTTGCCCTTAAAATTGAGATAAAAAAAAAAAAAAAAAAGGAAATACGTTGAAGACGACTAAAATTGGGAAGAGAATGCGCAATGCAAAAGACAGGAGTTGATAAGAGGGAATCAGATTGAACGAAAATCATGGGATTTGGATGAAAGCATTTTACCGGAAAATGTGAGTATCTCGGGAAAATCTGAATGTGGATCGGTCTGTGAGCAGAGACCGTAATGGCATGGAAACAGTGCTTGCTTCCAGCTTCTTATTCTGCGTCTACTTTCATTCCATTCATATTTTAATGAAATATCATTGATATTTGATGAGGTTAATTATTTTTTAAATTATTAAAGTTTCAACGCTCTGATCACTGAGGAGGGAAAGATTTTCGTTTCTTTTGTTTTACGCAATCTTATTAAAACCGGTCGGGTGAATGATCCTCTCAAGGTATCAGATCATTAAGTGCATTATTTGTTGGTTATATATAAATCTATAATTTATATTAAAAAGTTATAAATATATTCAAATAGTTGAAAAAAAATATAAATTTTAAATATTTTAATATAAAAATAATAAATTATATATTATTGTCTAATAAAAGATCAAACAAACGCATAATATTTGTTATATTGATGTTTCAGGTTTGGTAAACGACATCTTTAACTATTAAATCAAAATTCTCTGCATAGTGCATAATTAAGATAATATTAAGATTGTAGGTACATAACTTATGTAAGTCAATATGTAACAGATCACTCAAATATGTCAATTATGATTTTTTTTAAAATTTCTTTTGAAAATATATTTTTTAAAACCGGAGCCGAGTCACCGATTTTTCACCAAAATTAGCCGGATCACATCGGATCTGATACTTGACCGATCTAATATGATAATCAGACCGGTTCATCGAATGGTTTTATGCGTTATGAGATAGATTAGATGGCTCGCACATCTTTTGCAATAGAAATAAGTGAGTTTATTTTATTTATTAAAAAAAAATATTTTATTATTTTATTTTTATTGCATAAAATAATTATTTTATGTAACTTAAAATAATTAATTTATTCTTTTAAAATGGTAAATGAAAAAATTGTTTATCTAAAAAATATTACAAAATAATAATTTTTTAATATAGAATTATTTTTGCATGTGATAGTACAGTATGTTCAAGACGTTATTTCACTGGCGAGTCGTGACAGATGCTTAAAGGAAATGGATCCAAAAAAACATGATATGGTCACGTGAAAAGATCACAATCATACAAAGGTAAATCAATGTTTATGATTTCGTAACTACTTATTTCATCATTTTTTCTCTTTCCTCTTCTTTCATCATTGATCCACCTTTGTATGGTTATGATTCTCCACATTACATGGTCATGTGAATTTTCACATTAGAAGATCCAGATCCGGTGCTTAACCTCCTTCTCATAGAGAAAAGAGAATATGTATATTATAAATAACGATTAAAATTACGTCGTTTTGAGTCAAATAATTAAAATAAATAAATTTTTTGAATAAATTAAAATTACAAAAATATCTTTTTGGCAAAATTATTCCTCCCATTAGGACAGAAATAATTTGTCTGTCGCAGACATATATTTACTAGGATATAATATTAGATCTTGATAATTAAAAAAAATAAAATTAGTGGATCTCATTTTTTTTATCTGTGCCAGATATTTGCTTTCTATAAATCTTTTTTTTTTCATTCCCAAAACAATATTTTTTTTGGGTTCACTAAAAAGAATATTATTTTCAGTGATCAAATAAATATTAAATCCGTAAATAAATATGTATTGAGAAAACGACTACACTTATATATAATGTTAGGACTTAGGACTATATAGTAATAAATAAAGAAAAATAGAGAAATATAAATAATTATGATTATGTCAAATTAATAACTTATGCCTAATTACGATAATTATGCTAACAACGCTAAGAGTATATTTTTAATAATATGAGTAATTAGGTTTTTCACTGGCCGGCAAAAACTATGTGAGGTAATTTACTATGTTTATCAGCAGAGTAGAGAATAGATGCGGTAGTCATAGTGAAATATCACAATCGAGGCCTTTTGTTGTTTATTGTATTAATTCGGACATCTGTTCATAAATTTCAAATTTATAAATTTGCAATTTGCAAATGGGAAAAAGTGTTTTTACAGTTAGGGGAAGATAATTTTATCTCTTGTAATTCTAAAACATTATTTTCGGTATTTTACATTTTTTATTTTTTATTATATCATGAATTTTATTAAAATATTTTGAATTTTGAATTTTAAACTTTAAAATGATGTTATTTTCAGTTACAGAAGATAAAATTATCTCCAATGACAAAAGATACCTTCATCCCATAAATAATTATGTATATTAATCATGACCGGCATGCATATTATTATCAAATAGTTTGACAAATTTATCTAACACAATAATGTATTTAGGGTTGTGAAAAAAAAATCATAAGAACTGTTCAATCTTGTCTTATAAACTATACTAGAGATACTTAATTATTTCTACAAACAAATATATACATTTCATTTTAAGATATTATTTATTAAAAATATCTATTGGCGGGCATGGTTGGATTTGATGTGCCACGAGATTATTATACAAGGTTTATAATTAGGGGTGTAAATAGGCTGAGCTGGGCTGGACTTTGGCTTTCCTGGCTCAAGCCTACTTAAAAAAAATTCAGTCTATTTGGCCTACTGGTCTATCAAAGGCTTTATTTCTAAGCCAAACCCGGCCTATTTTAAAAAATAAGAAAACCCGACATGGCCTACAGGCCTTGTAAGCCTACCACTGTAGATACTAAGCAAATAAAATAATTGTATAGAGCAAAGAAAGTTTTATTCATGAATGCACTAGTACTTCTCATAAGAAAAAATAACAAACAAGAAAGAGTCAACATAATACCCTAGCTTTAGAATATATATTATAGAGGAATAGAGTTAAAAAAATGGGAAAAAATAAGAAAAATACAATTATTGGGTGCTGAAATAAAGTCTACAAGAGAATGTCATTCATCTAAAAATTAGGGTTGGTATTGGTACTTTGCCATGCCACATAAAATAAATATTATTTTATTTTTAATAAATTAAATAGGCTAGTCTAAAGGCTTTGGGCCAGGCTTGACAAAATTGGCCTACGGCCTATTTGTTAAAAAAGTTTTCTTAAAAGCCTAAGCCTACTCTACTTTTTTGAAAAGTCGAGTCAAACCAGGCTTAATGTAGGCCGAGCTATAGGTTGGACTGGGCTAACCTGACCCATTTACACCCCTATTTATAATGAACAAAATATAAATCTTGCCTATACAAATAATGTCTTGAGCTCGCTGATAATTTAATCAAATCATGTCATGGAACTAGAAATTAACTCTTTATCCTTATCTGCAACAACATATAACCGCAATTTGAGTGAATTGCAAAATAACTCAGTGATCAAATCATGAAAACAAGTACAACTAGGATTAGGTAATATTTAAAAACATATTTAAATCAAACCATAAAGCTAGAGTGATTTAAAAACATAATTAAATCAAACCATATTTAAACCGATCATGAATTTTATAGTATTGATTCAAAACATTTTTCAAATATCATCCAAATCAATATATGTATTATAAAAATAATTAAACAAAGCCAATCGTTAACTCTGTTTTATAAAATTATTATATTAATAAATTAAATCTGAAAGAATTTAAATAAAAATAAAATAAAATTTGAACTTAAAATAATCCCTTGAAATAAGAGTCAAGACACCAAATAGTTGCGAAATTAAAATAAGATTAGTGTGCGCTTAGCACCTTAATTTCTTTCCTCTTTTTTTTTGGAAATATTAATTTCTTTCCTCTGTCGCACTCTGCTTCTCTCATTATCTCTTCTTACTCTTCAATTTTTCTCTTCCAATTTGACCAACGCTTCATTTATTTATAAACATTTTTCCTTTAGACATTAAAAAAAATGCGCATAATCAAATCGGACAAATTCATATATCAATTATTTAATCATATTTTAAATTTTGATATCTTATCATTTTTTTAACAATATTTCCTCTCGCGTTCCGCTAGAGGTGTTGCAAAGATTCATACCATCCGAATATGCAAATGAACTGAACAATATCTTGTGTGCTTCTGTGATATATCAGGTTTCCCTTACTAATGTTTGACTATACCATTGTCCTGAATTAGAGGCATTAAATTCTGTAATTTATTCATTTCCCGTGTATAAGTGTGAGGTCACTGGGAAACTTCTCTGAATGCTACATGCAACAGGCAATATAATGTTAAAAAAATTTATAATAGTTATGGGTTTTAATCAATTATAGTTTTTTTTGTTTTAATAAAAGTGGACTAAGGCATGATTCATATGGGTGCAATATAAAGCCCAGTTAATAAATGATTCTTTTTAATTTGGGCTTAAATATATGTAAATTGATTAGTGTGGGTAACAGTATATGCCTAACTCATAGACCCATGATGGGAAGGGGACTAAGGTTAATAAGTTTGACTAGGTCCCCTCTGCATTCACAGTGTGTTAAAAAACTGTCACTCCACAACTCGTCCCATCGACGGTTGTGATCATGGAGTGGTGTAAATTGTAGATGAAGATTTGGTCTTTCCATTGCAGGAGCATTAGAGTAGACAATAAACCTTCAAGAAATCAAGAATCATGCCTTCAACAATTAAGCCTGAACTTTTTGGTGTTCTAATTTCATATAATCTTATTTCATGAAATTTCTTACATATAATCCTCATGTGGTTTTAATTGATAAAAAAAATCAACTACTATTGTTGTCTTCTAAAATCCAAAGCAAAATGATTCTAGATTTGATAATAGTTCATAATAACCATTTGATATTTAATTTATGGAATAATAACTTCTCCTATTACACGAAAAGTTATCTCCCTTCGAGTAGACACAATTTTATATGCGGGACCTGCTACCTTAAATAAAAAGGGAAGGAGATGTTTTCATGAGTCAACAGGAAGGGAAATAACTTCTCCGAGAAGTTCTTAT